AGATAGATATATAGATATATAGAGGTAGAACTCTGAGAACTGGGCCTATTAATTTAGGAAAATCAGATCACTAGTTGCTCTAGGATTAGCTGCAACCACAGAAAGAGTAAACATGCAACCTGAACAACCACAGCATTTCAGACGATGCCCTACATTGAACTATCCCCATATAAACAACGGAAACAAAAGATGATATAGGCTTGCAGAAATTCAGAAACAAATAATAGTGACCCCAAGTGAAAAGTGGTAACAAAGGATACCGAACCCCTCCCATCGTACATTTTCCTGAAGAGGCTTCCTGTTCACCTGCTAGAACAATCCGGGGGACTGACTCATTCTTGAAGTGCAGTACAAAAGGAAAACAACCCCTCGGCTTCAGGAATGTCAACAAACGTTTATCAAATATTGCTAGCCAAGGCAATATGTCTCTGTTTAACACCAGCGTAGTGAAAACACATTTTGGTCTGAGTGCCAAAACAGTGGCTTACACATTGAACTGGGTTTCCTGTTGGAGGAAGAATTCATATGCAGAACTGTAAAGAGTGACGCGGATGTCATGGTGGAGCAGAACAACTGTGCAATGTTTTAATGGTTCAAAACAGACAGCCGCCCTGCCAAGGAACAACTGACACTCTGGTGCAACAACCTGTTCAGTCAAGTAGAATATGTGGGTCAAGACTAAAGGTGTGTGTTGATATGGAATTTTGATAGTAAATTGGGTAAAAATAGCTCAGCGTACAATGTGATCTTGATAATAGCAGATAAGGCTATGAGCTCTCAAACATATATTACACATACCTTACATTATGTTATACAGTGTGCGGTAGTGGCACCACAGGTGTGCTGTTATTTTCTTATGTTTCAACTTTTTTCCCCCCTAGATTCTGATTAGTCTGCACATTCCAGGCACCTGATGCCTCTTTAAACTTTATTAAAATCCTCTTTTACAGCAGTAAAGGAGTTTTTTTTCTTCTGTCTTGTGAGTTGAAGATTCCTCCACCTTCCACCATAATAAGTGTGTTTTTAATGGCACGCAACAGTGTCCAGTTTACAACTGTGTGGCAGAGGAGGGTCTTTCTCGTGTTCAATTTTGGTGCCTGAGAAAGTAAAACTATCTTCTAACTAACCTAGGACCTCTTGCATTTTAATAAAATATGTATTGTTACACTAATTATTCTCCCATCAATAATTCAGCGATTTGATGAAAGTAAATGGCTGTAAGAAATGTTGACCACAATTATTTTCCTCGTTTTCAAAGAGTTCAACACAAATAATTAAATGAAATAGAAAGAAAGTGAAATAACACTTAGTTCGTTCACATTGTGGCACTGAAGTCAAATGTATTGCCTCTTCCATGACTGAAGTCGGGTTGGACCGTGTCAGTGAGTGAAACATATTTATTCCTCCTGCTAAGGTATTGTAGATAAATATTAGGCAGGTAAATATTGTAGATGTTTAAGTTGATGAACATCCCGCCACTAAAAACAAGCTTATTTAATGCACTACATTTGTGAAAGAGGTTGTAATATAGATGGTATATTGTTTATTTCCTAAATCCAGTTATATTATATTATATTATATTATATTATATTATATTACATTACATTCCAAAGGATCTTTAAGCTAGTTAATTAATTGTGGCAATTTACTGTGACTGTGAGTGAAGCTGATCACATTCAGGTGCTTTTTCATTGTGCTCGTAATTAGAAACAACGTTATAAACACTGTGCATGTACAAAATAGAGGACTGTTGTTGTAAGCTAGCTATGAATTATCGTGCGTTCCTATTTTTTACTAAGAGTTATCTACGATATCAACTTTGATACATGACTAGAAGTTTGTTATTGTCTCCAAAGAAGTCCACACATGTTAACTTTAAATCAGCTGCCCATGAAACCCACAGAAACAATAACTACAAAAGCACTATGAGTAAATATTTGACTTAACTGGAGCTAAAATAAAGAAATATCCAAACCTACATCCTCTCACAGCACAGAAACAAAGCCACGAACCAAGTTTATGAATGATTTGCTAAAACTACATGAAAATGCTAACGTTAGCTCCAAGCTAAGTTCGCTAACGTTAGCTCACTAACTAAGTGAAGCGTTTCTTACTTTCTCTGTTGAATTTATCACAAAGCAGACAAGACAAGACAAGACAAGACACTTACATGAAGTTTTTTGTCCCTCAGTGCTTTTAGCCTCTCCTTTCTCTTCAGGGCCTGCTCCTGTAGTGACCCCACATTTTTCTCCATGTTTATCTCTACGCGCCGCTCAACTCTCTCTGACATCCATTGGTTGTCCTCCTGACTGACGACCGTCGAGCACATCGATTACAGTGGCCTGCCTGGTCATGTGATATTATTATGTTTTGTTGTCCAATTTGTTCAGAATCATTAAATAGATTGATTCATTCATTAATTGAATTGGAAACATTATTATTATGAATAACATACAAATTAAACATAATGAGATTTTCCAACCTTTAAACACACATCAGGTTCTATGTTGGATGTATTAACACATACTTGAATTGATTTAACTTTCAGTCGCTTACAGGTTATTTTAGCCTAGGTAAACCCACTTATGGACTATTAACAGACCTTTACATTAAGGGGAATACATAGGACAGACTTGTTCACTGTCCCGCCTGTTGATGGTCACACTGTCAGGTCCTGGTTAGGAATGTAGGCCATTGCCATGGTAATACAGCTGCCTCGCGCTTCACTCTGTCCATCCTCCTAATGACCAACATTAGTGTGTTACAACACAAACTTGGTTGTGTTAAAGATGCTAACAAAGTTAAAGATCATGACCCTAATAAATCATTAAATTACCCATTTGTAATAATAGCCTTCATGTCGGTGGCCCAGCTAGATAGGGAAAAGGTCTCTATGATGTAAACTATCCTTTCAGTACAACAGACACACCATTTGTCTAAAGAAAAAGTGTGTTTTCTCTTCTTTAGTACACCTTTGAGCAACTTTACATACCAAAAACATATGTTGAACTCATAAAATGTGTGTAAAACAGTGTTATTAGATAATTTCAATAATTTATTAAAACAAATATAACTGTTTATACTCAGCATGTATGTTTCAAGAATAATAATGTTGTTTTTTTAGAGAACTGAAATGTATGCCTCATTTTTAGATAAATGTGTAAGCTGTTGCCAGACCATGTAGGTTTACAGTATGGAGTTAGACCAAACACCACCAGGACAACTTCAAGCATCCAAATACTTTTTAGAAGTGAATTTATTTTCAAAGATACATTTTCACTGAGGAAGTCTTTTATGTACATTTGTACACAAGTCCACACTTTTACTGTAGTAATATTTTAAATATACTATATATTCTCATATTATACTGTCAGTCGTATTGATGTAACACTAATTGTACTAATGTAGGTCTCAGTGTTTACAGGATTATCGATCAGCAGTCTCATCAGGAATATAATAAAATGGTGTAATATAATTACTTATTACAGCCTACTAAGGCACCAGGAACCATTATACGTAGCTGTTAGAGTCTAAAGTTCAGTCCTGTGTTTGTCTATGTCATGTGCAAAGTGACAGCTCCATCCTCAGTCTAAAGACACTGCATAACAAAGGCTTCTTATTCAGACATCTATGCAAGAGTGTAATTACATCTTGTCTATTTTGATGATTACATAACAGAAACATGTATTTTGACACATGTATGTAGCTAGACTCCAACTTCTCTTCATCAGTGAGAGGAGTGCAGGAGGAGGCTGTGGCAGTGTGTTTATGTGTGTGTGTGTGTGTGTGTGTGTCTTTAAGAATACCAGCCTACCTGTGAGCAGGATCTACAATCAACTCTTCACTGCATTTCTCGCCCTGTTAATAGTCAGACACTAGTTGATGGTAATTTGCTCCCGCTCATCACACATGACACAGGACTGTACACCTCTGCTGACTGAAGCCATACAGCCAGGGGAGTCATTTCTTGCTCTTGTAGGGGATGGCATCTGTCGCTTCCGTGGGAACTCTCTTCAATAGGAATCACACAGCAACAAGCTCGCTTTAAATGCGGACATGGGTGTTTCTCCAGGCATGCATTTCCACGCATTTTTGTTCTTGGTTTTACAATTCCGACAGTGATCGCCACATTTACCACCGTCATGTTTTAGCTTTTCTCATGCCACTCTGATAACTTTGCGTGCCAAGACTTTTGTGTGGATTATTACGCCTGAATTTGCAGGAATGGTTCACAGGAGCGTGGCGCGTCCTCCTGCGTTTGGGAAACAACTTCAGACAGCTCTGGCTTTGACCATGCTCACCACCAGTTTCATGATTTATTGAAAAAAAAAAACAGAACAAAAAAAGAGGGTGATAATGAGCAACCACAAGGGCGGCGGGATGGCATCGAAGGAACGGCTGTATGAGCTGTGGATGTTATATTACACAAAGGTGAGTGCAAGTGCGGAAGACCTGACGGTGACACCTGTTGTTGCAACAGGTCTGGACTGCCTGAAGTTTCTAACATGAAGCCGATGAACACATGATCGCAGGCTGTGTGATCTGTGTCGTGTGTCCTTTCTCTGTCGTTTGTTGTAATCGGTTTTTAATGAGGAAGTCGTCTCCTTTCTGCCTGTTTGTATTGGAGCTGGTTTATTTACCTAGAGGTTGAGGTTGCCCTGCGCACACTGGAGGAGGATATCATGTCATATCATATGACTGTGTAACTGAGCCATTTAACTTATTGAAAGCAGCGAGTAACAATGGTATTTGAAGCAGATTAACCGTCTTAATGGAGTGTGTTTGCTCCTGTACCTGTCATGCAGGTGTCACTGAGGCTACTTCCTGTTCCTGTTTGTCCCTGCCTCTCTTCCTTAGTTAAGCACATTTAAACCATAATGGGATTAATATAGGTATGGAGTTTTATTATCCAGGGAAAGAGCTTATTGTCACTTATCACCTGGAGCACATGTTCTTGACTTGGTATCTCTTATATTTCAAATATTAGAAACAATAATGGTGTAAAAACTTATCCTAATTTTGCACCATCCTAAATCGAGGGTCAAATTTTGTGAGGTATTTTGGTCTCAAATGTTGCTCCCTGTGGGTGTGACTGCATCTCATTGCTTTGGTTGTCCAGTAATAAGGTGTTATATCTTGGTAATAATTCTGGAAACAAAGGAATAGCAAAATGATATTGCACATGCCTTCATGTCATGTCTCCTCTTGAAGGAGAAATAAAGTTTGGCTGTGTATAAATTAAAGTATTACTATTTAATGTGTTTGCAATCTGCTTCCATGCCTGAGGTCAGAGAAAACAAGATGAGACTTCTTTCCAAGTTTGCCTGCATTGTATGTTCACTGTGGGGCATTGAGACACCTCCTTTATCATCACAGTGGATCTAAAGAGCTAGTTTCTTGACAAAGATAATAGCTAGTCATAGAGTAGGGCTGTTTTCATTACCTATCTCTGTTGAATTTTGGTTTAATTTAGGACTGGACTTAATCCCTACTTGGAAACCAGCCAGAGAATTTAAACAGGGCAGAAGTCGATGCTGGAATAACTGCAAAAAGAGCTGGAAGCGCATCCATGACATAAGTGAGCAAGAAGTGTATCACCTCTTGTGGTCACTTTGGCCACATCCCAGAGGAAGTGTGTTTGTAATCCAGTCTTTTACTTGTCTTCTGGGCTGCTGCTCTATGAATAACTGTAGAACTGTCCTGGTTATGCCAGTCTTTAACACACAAAACAAGTTGGAAGCACTGTCATAAAAATCCACTGTTAGTAAGAGTCATTGGTGTGTATGTGTGCTTGTGTCCTTGTGCACCCTGAATGTGCCTTTGACAGCTGCCTCTTGGCAGTTAGTTTTCTCCAGTTGCCCTCAAGCCTAAAGAAGCAACGTTTATAATTCAGATTTCTCAGAGAATGACGCAGACATCTGAGCTTTCTTGGAAGTAGATTTTGCATGTGTGCAAATGACCTGCCCTTATTGCCTAGCTGCAATGAGGTAAAGGATTTGATTGAGCACAGTATTAAACGTCACCACCTTATGTGACTCAGAAGGACACAATAGACTGCAGAAAGGCAGCAGAACCACTTCAGAGAACAATCACTTGCCTCTCCTATACACATCAACATGCCACTGTGTGTCATGTTTCTGTTGGCTGCCTGTTTGTCAAGTTGGAACAGACAATATCTTTTTTTAAACTGGACAAGTCCCATCTCCAGCTCATAGGCCTTATTGTTATGTGTCACACATCGAGTAAAATTTGACTATTGCAAATGAGTCGAACAGTACACGGGACCTGAGCTCTATTTAATAGGCTTTTTGTTAGTGCTGTAAACAAGCCTTTACTTACTAGTGGCGATGGCCTGACACTGTCTGTTTGAGTCCCAACAAACACACCCCTGCAGCTGTCTTTACAGCGTGTAGCAGATCTGAATTTCAGTCTGTAAATATTTCAGTCTTGTGTGTCTCTGCTGATGACTCCATTTTCCTCAGACTTATTCTTATATTTTTTCAAGGTTTTTCTGCTTTAATCAGCCCCTGTATGCAAGGGAAATCCTGACAGCATCAGTGCATGTTCGATCAAATATTCTAGTAAATGTATATTACATAATGGGAGTTTACAGTATATTATTAATCTGTAATAATACTAACAATTGATGCTAATGTGTTTGAGGACATTCTGTATCACAGCAATGGTTCTGTATCTGCAATAAGAAAGCAAAACTTGTTTGGGCCTGCCTGTTATAAAGGAGCTCTGCTTCCTTCGATTGTGCAAGAAATCACACGCCCCTCGCAAGACTTTCAGATCAGCTGTTCAGGACTGATGTGAAATGTTTAAAAGGCATTGTGATATAGAAATATTCTGCTCTAAAGTTGATGAATGCGATATTTTCTGTACAAATGACCAAAGAAACAGGAAGGCAATGATGGATCAATTGAAGATTTTCTAGATCACATCTCCTGTTATAGACTAGAGAGTTGATTATTTGGTCACGTTATATGACCATAGGCATGCATGTATTTCATCTCATGCACTAGATCTATAAACAATTGTATTGACAATATAAACATACAATGTTTTTTTACTGCTTCTTAGTTATCAGGTCTTTGCAGTTTTGAGAGCTTGTTAAGCCAAGCAATGCTCAGTGAAAAATCAAGACCTTCATACAATGAACAGAACATCGTTCCCACTTCATTTGGTAAAGTTAAAAGCCATCTTACTGGCACAATTTCAGCGCTTCATATCTCATATCTGAGAATGTGTTTCAGACCATCATCATATGCTCATGCCTGGCAGATATGGACGTATGAACAGTCT